GTCCGATTCATCGATTAATCGAAAAAATAATCGTCCGATTCATCGATTAATCGAAAAAATAATCGTCCGATTCATCGATTTTTAAAATAATCGTTAGTTGCAGCCCTAGTCCTAGCATGAGACTGTTTTTTAAAAAGACACAAACTGGTTTTCTTAAAAGATATGAAATGGAAGAAGGGCAGTGAAGATCAATAGGTACTCCTATTCTGTCTAGATGGTTATATTCATATTTTTGCAATGGTTGTGGTTTTGTGGGCTATGGTTAACGGTGTGTGGGCAAGTGTTATTTTGTATGAGTACGTTTCTTTAACCATTGATTTATTTGCTCACTGAATTAACTTTTGGAGTAGCATGGGCTAACAAGTAAGGAAGAATCAGGAAGCCTCATTACCCTTTTAAGGCACAAGGACTAAACTGTACATCCATTCATCCATTTTCTCCCTCTTAGTCTGGTATCTATCTCTGTCAGTCTATGGGCGAGAGGAGGGGTAAACACTGGACAGGTCACCAGTCCATTGCAGGGCAACACTGAGACACACAATGACACACAACAATGCACACACTCACACCTAAGGACAATTTAGAGAAGCCAATTAACCCAACGGTCATGTTTTTGGACTGTAGGAGTTAGTCAGAGTACCCAAAAAAAAACCATGCATGCACTGGGAGAACATGCAAGCTCCATGTAGAAACCCAGGCTCGGGAATTGAACCAAGAACCTTCTTGCTGAAAGGTAACAGTGCTACCCACTGCTTCACCGTGCAGACCTAAACTATACATATAATTTAATTTTATGTATATCATCAATTATACAGAGTTCATGTTTGTTGCTTTACTAGATTATTTGTATTAAAGTTATATTTTATGTCAGCATGACTAGAAAAACACTATAAAAGTTATCAGTCTGTCCAAACGGAAAAAAAACATGACTGTTGCAAAAAAAAAAAGTCTAACTAGAATGATAGAAAATACTTTTTTTCTATGGGAAAAGTAGTTGCCTTAACTTTTAGGTGGTTGACTGGCAGCAATGGGTGGGGGAGGGCAAGTATACTTTTGTGTACTTTTGGGTCCATTTAAAACCATAACCTTTTATAGGTAACCCAGCATTGCCCTTTTTCTCTTTTAAACCTGTGAATTTGTGTTTTTATATAGCTGAAGTCTTAAAATTTAATTTTAAGTATTTTTTGTTAGATATAAATAATTTTGGCAATGTATGTATCTCAGAATCTGACATACTTTAATAATCCTAGAGGGAAATTACTTTTGTTACATGCTCCAGATATACAAACATTTTTATTTTATTTATATATATATATATATATATATATATTGTTTACATACACCAAAAACCCAAATGGCAGAATTAAAAGCAATAATGGACTGAAAAAGAAAAAAAGTGACTTTAGAATTAAATATATATAATTTTGGTGCAGAATTGGAAAAACCTGAACATCAGTAGTTATTCTTCACTTCCAGTATCAGTGAGAACAGCATGTAAAGATCTTAGGGCACTAAATGGCAGAATCAGAAAAAAATTACAGACTTTTTTATGGACATTTTGTAATTGAAGAGGCTTTTTGTGGTAGGTATGTGATTTATAGGTTAATAATCAGTATGTACAGAAAGGGGAGAGAGATAATGTCTACATGGAAGAGAGAAGAGTGGTGTAATGGAAGGATTAATGATCTGAAGAATCTTTGGAAGCCTAAGCTAGTGAGTTAGAGAGCTGAATGTTAGCTTTCTTCCTCTTGTATGCCTTTGAAATCCTTCTCTATCACTCAGAACTGCCATCCTTACCTTTGTAGCAAGGTGGCACTGTCGCTCAGCTAGTCTTGTCAGAGATCCTGAAAGGGTGAGCTAAAGGCAGGGCTCTCTCTCGTCCCCCCTCCCACCACCACTGACAACTGTGAATGCAGCAGGGCAGGCAGTCGCGTCGAACGCAGTCCATTGGCTTCTCAGCGCTGCCTCTAAAGTAACAACCCCGACTGTAGCCCTGGCTGCCTCTACCAGCCTTTCTCTGCAGCTGCTGGTGCCGCCACTGCTCTCCCTCCCCCTTTAAATGGTGTGGGCAGAGTGGGATGGAAGACTGCGTTGGGAATCTTTTCATGGAAATGGTCTTTGCTGCTGGTTCTGCTGTAGCACCATACTGGTGACAACAACATGCCGTTAAAATGGAAAAGCGGTTCTCCTGTCAGCTGGAAATTCCCAGTGCCAGTTCTTAAGACATCCAGGTCCTCACCCCTTTCGCCTGCCTACATGTGAGTAAGAGCTTAATGGGATTCACATTGCACAACTATTGTAGTGTATTTATTGGTCTATTTGACAGTTCATTTCATTGCCGGCTTTATTTAAAAGGAAAAGGCTGATATTATATACATTATGCCCCTTTTTGGGGAGAAGGCGGCAAGCTTTGTGTGAATCAAGAGATTACCATCGTCCGACAAAGATTTTTTTTTTTTCTGGGTTCCACCTAAGCATGCCCCTTTTCTTTTTTTCCATTTCGAAAGGCTGCAAGTCCGGACATGGCAGGCACCACATCCCTGACTCTTGCCCTCTTCCTGTGGCTGTTTTTATTTGGGAGCTGGAAATCAGCAGCTTGGGAGGAGTCTGCCTTTGTCAGGATGTCTGACATGCCCTGGTTTAGAAGCTATTGTCATCAGCTACTGTTCATGAAGGGGGAAGGGTAGAGAGCGTTTGCTCCATACAGCCCTTCGCCATCATTGCTTTTACCCCTCTGTCAGAGCTCCTTTCGGTTCATAGCAAAAGCTTTGACTTACGAGAAGGAAGAGTCAGATTTTTATTTTTTTGAAGGGGGGAAAAAGATAAAGGTTCTTAAGGAAACATTGGTTAACTCAATGTTGTGGGAGAAGTTCTCCTGCTAATACAGCTTACTTTTTCTGGGTATCTACTACTTCTTCAAGCTTTACCTGAACAAAAAAAAATCTTTCTTGTAAATCTCTGCAGCCATCAGATGCAATGTTGCACCTGATGGAAGTTAATTACTTTAAATCCAATAGTGCATTCTCACATGTAGAAATTCAGACAAATCCAACCTAAACCTGATTGTTTATTCCAATGAATGTTTCACTAATGAGTAGTTATTGATTTGGTGTTTGCCAAGCTAATTTATTCATATTAGTTACTGCTTGTTGTGTTTGTCAGGTGTTTGCTCTCAACTATCCTGAGCTGATTCTGAATCATGGCCACTGCAATTTCCTGAAAATGCAATGATGGCTTGTTTTCATTGTATTAGTATGTTAAGTCATCTTGATTGGGGTATAAAATCTTGCAGCAATAATTCTTAGCTCATGAATTAACATATTTAAATGTTTCTGTTGTTGAGGAATAAAGCAGCTTGATGATGCTGCAACACATAGAAGTTAAAACGGTGTTTCCAAGCTGCATGTCGGAGTCCTTCATATATTTGTGTGTTTTAAACCCTTGTCTTCAGGGTAAAGTAACTAAAGCTCTAGTGTTTTGTCCTTTCTAATCAGTAAAGAAGATATTGTCAGAGGTTGTACAGATTGTAAGTCACATTAATGTAATTATTTTGTGTGAATGTAAGGATGCTGTCTTCACACCAGCTTGTCAGGCGCAGCCATTGAGAGCTTTTGAGGGCTCTTCCCAGGAAGTTGTTAACTTTTCAGTATATCAGGTGTGCTCAACTGGCCCTGGAACAGTGGCTACGTGCAGGGCCTTCCTGCTAAATCATGTGCATACGACGGTAAGCTAGGTGCACTTCAGCATCTTTACTTTGCCCGCTGTTGCTCTGCCCAGCCAGACTTCTGCTTACTATTTTGAAACCTGAATAGTTAGCTGTGTGTTTTTTTTTTTTTTTTTAACAGGCTGTTTTTTGGAGTTGGTCTGGGTTGGTCAGGCGGTTGTCCTTATGAACCTGCCATCCATTTGCCTTAAGACATTTATAACGGGGTGTGCTGTGTTGGTAATTTCAGTGTGTTCTACCTAGCAACTGTGGTGTTGGTTTTTAGACTATGTGAGGAACATCAAGTTAACAGCTGAAAGTTAATGCCTGTGTGCCTAAATGCACTTTTATCATTTTCACGCTTAGTCATGTTTCAACCATGTGCTTAATATTTTATTGGTGTTTAAACATTATAGTCCAACAAAAATTAGCACTTAAATGCAAAGGAGGAGAAATACTTAATATTGTTTTTCAAACTATTTTTGCCCCCCTGCATATGTAATAAGATCCCTTCGCTCTATTATCCCTTATAAGTGTAATGAACCTTAATACCTTCTATGTCACCTAACTGGTAATTGTAGCTGTCCTAGTAAGGCCTCATAGGCACGTTCAAGAATAATGGAGATCAAACGGCTTCATGATGACCAGGGTACACAGATGTGTCATGGGTAGAAAGTAGGGCTGGACAATATAGGGGAAAAAAGCATATTGACTTCTCAGGTCCATTCTGTCAATGTAGTGAATTGAGAGGCTGAGGTAGTGCTTGGATGTGTGACTTGATCAGATGTCCGATGTAAGAAACAGATTGCAGCTCATTTTGCACTGATTCTCTGCACTCATTGTTCAAATTAGGGAGCTCTGAGTTAGGGATTATTTTGCAGCCCAGAACTTCGTATAATGGATCAAGAGTGGCGAGTAGCTGTTTGAAGCCAAGTTTTTCAACTGCAGACAACGGCAGCGTAGCCATCGATATGAAGCATTTTACTGCATGAGTGATCTGATGCTTTGACTTGCTATATCTGATATATTGCCAAACTGGCGAGCTACTAAAACCCTTTTTTGGGACAATTTCCTCTGCCACTCCTGCTGCGACATCTTCATGTGCTCTCTGTTTTTGTTTGAGAGGGTGGCGCTTTGTGATGGCATGCCTGGGTCCGCAATTTGTTGGGAGGAAGTGGTGACTCTAGCATCAACCTACATAATAGGCTACAATGAAAAGGAAGGAAAGCTGTGTTTCCCTATAGAACTTTTATCAACCCTCTTTTTTTCTATTGCGCCACACGTCTATTGATCTATATTATATTATCATCCAGCCCTTGTAGTTGATCAGAAGATTAAAGCAGAATTGGGTTCTGGAAAAAGATATTCCAGGCTTTAAACCTCTCGCTAAGCAGTGATCAACCATGAAAACGGAGAGCATGCAAAAACTGCAGGCAGACCAAGACATGACGGTCCAGCTGACCTGACCGATTAAAACTAGACCCAACTTGACAGATTGAGGAAATATTTCAGGTACAAATAATTTTGCAAGGTGTTATAAATCTCTTGCTGTAGATTGTCTCCCACAGACGCCTTTGAGATATGATTTCCTTCCACTGATGGCATAGCCTACAGACTGGATGAAAGGAGCAAAGAGCGACACGGCTGTTTGATCTGCTCAAAGGTTTTCCATAGGAAGAATAAGCAGCTGGATGCCGAGCATTAACCAATGAGAAAAGCTGATCCAAGAGCTGTCTGATTGTTGAACCAAACACTCTTTAAAACCAAAATTAATTCCTGCCTGCATTTAATTCTAAAGCAGAGGGTGTTTTTTATTCAACGTTTGAGATTTACAAATGGGGAAAATTGTATATGGGGTTGATGTTGGCACTCTTATTTTATCTTCTTGCTACCCTTCGTATGGGTAAACCTCCTTCTCCCATGGCCAGTCAGTTTTACTTAGATCTGGTGGTACCTGCTCAGGAGCGATACTAAAAGGAAAAAAACATTAAAAGAACCTTTAGAGGGGAGAGCCGTGATGGGTGGAGCCCGTGGAAAAGGACAGAAGAAATGCTTTCAGCATGTATGTTTAAGCTGTGAGGTAAGAGACGCAGTGTAAAGATCTAACCGGTGGCATTGTTAGTTCTTAGCTTATTTAACAATACCAAATGGCTTTCCTGTAGTGTTCAGCGTCCTTTGTTTGGGTAAGATTAAGTCCCAAAGGAGAAACTGAGTAAAGGCTTTTTTTTTGCCTCAGTGAAGCATGACTAATGAGTGAAAAAGTCTGTGGTGATCCAGTAGTCAAACTGCCAGAATTATTGTTTGATTCTTGTTAGCACTTGTCGTGTCCCTTTTTTTTTCTTCCTCTGCCTTTGCTCTTTTTGCTGTCTGTCAGTTAACCTCAGAAAATACAGACCTGGAATGTATGTTGTATTTCTATCTTTTTTAATTTTTATTTTTTTATGTGGGGGTTGGGTCTATTTTAATTTTATTTTTATTCTTTGTATTTTTAAGAATAATACATCAAACCTGTATAGTGCTTTTATTTAGACATTCACAGATGCTTTTAAGAAACACTCTGAGGGGATCGCTTTTGGACTTCTTTTTTTTTTCTCTCACTGACTGTATATGAATTTCTTTGGGTGTTAAATACATTTTTACCATCATATCCTCTAGTAAATAGTCTGACTTGGAAATGGCTTTCTGAAGATATACACTTTCTTTTTTTAACATTGAGACTGGTGGGATTAAGGTTAATATAAAAAAAAAAATGTTCCTCTCTTTTTTAACAGATTGTTGCAAAGAAATATTGTGTGTCTGATTTGGCGTGTTGTTCTGCTGCTGATACCACTAGGAAAGGATTTTTATTGTTCCTATGAAAATTGATTTGGATCAGTTTCAAAGTCAGCCTAGAGAAATGGGGGGAGGGGGGGGACTTTATTGTTCAAATTACATTAATCAGTTGAACTTTTTCTCCCTAAGGATCCTAATAGATGAATCTAACCCTGTCATAGTGCAGCACAAACCAAAATGCTAATATTATCTACAAGGTTCCCAAAGGTCATTAAAATCCTTGAAGTGTTTGAATTTTTAAAAGTAAATTCAAGGCTTTGATCGACTCTGAAAATTTCTGTTAAATAGTACGGCTGTCCAGATCTTATATTGGTGTTGGAAATCAGCCAAAAATAGGAACACTTTGTATCTATCAACTTTTGTTAAAAGTATAACTCTTAACATCGTTAATACATGTTTATTATTATTATCATTATACATTAATAATACAAGGATGTATGATTCATGCTCAGTATCGGTTTTTGTTAAAGATATGAACAAAAACCATAAATAACCATTTTAATAAACAGTTAAGTCTTTTTCTCATTAATTGGGTCTAAAACATGTTTATGATGAGATCAATTTATTGCTTTGTTTTCCATGACTTAATGTGAATATTGTAATGTTCACCAATACTAACATTAAATAAAGATTTAGTTCCTCTGTCTGATGTTTTCATGAAAACTACCCAACACTAAATGGTGCCTTACTGTGGAAAACATCTGCTTCTGCTTTCATAATGAG